CGTCATGCTGTTCTGCGCTCTCTTTAATTACACCCCGAAACCGGGACGCGTGACGTATTGCCGTGTGGCGAAAGGGACAAAAAAGCGACCTCCACTAGAATCGTCGATCTGCAACTCGGTCGTTAATCAACGCCTTGATCGGCGATATTTAATGTTTCCAAAATGTATTTTGCACGAGAAATTAAGAAGTATCAAGAAATCTTGAACCACGCAGTCCATTTCCTTAGTTTTTAATATTCATACATTTTCCTTTGATTCGTTGTAAAATTTTTTTAATACCTTGACATTTTATCTCTCGTAAAACAATGATGAATTTTATGGATTAAGACTTTTAGTAATCTTGAATATTTTATAAGGAAAACTTACTTTTCAGTTAGACTTAAAGATATATTGAGGTTTTTCTAGAAAAGTTGTGTTTAAAATTTGTTGATTGGCTAAAATTTTAGGATATGTAACTTGAAGGATTTATTGGAAGAAAGTGAAGTCTAGCGATGGAGGGGCCACTTAAAGCGTTGGCCCGGTCAGTGCTAAATATTTGATCAGAATTCGATTGGTTTAAGACGTCAGCCGGTAAGTGAGGGTATGCTCATGGGACAGACGAAAAAAATAGAAAGAAAGGAGGAGAAAGCTCGACGACTGGACGGACAGTTAGTAGCTAGACGACGGAGTATTCCCTCGAGCCGAACGGCAAAATGATGTCCAACTAAACAGTTCAGCTGTCCCGGTCACAGCATTCTTTTCTTATAGTATACCAATAATCTGAATTTGCTTTAAAATCTTCTCTCTTTTTCTCATTCTTATTTCTTCTTTTTTTGAATCGAACTGTAAAAAATGATGATATCTCCATTGGAAATAATTTAGAAGTAAAACCAATTCCGATGCCGCTACAGATGAGATTTATAGAGATGGTGTAATTTAACAGAGACATAATTTGCATGGTTAATAAAAGCTTTTTTTTGTTATAAAATGTGCGTCCATATTATTGCCGTTCTATTCAATTATGTATCATAATTGAATAAAACGGCAATAATATGGACGAATAAAATAGAATAAAGTAGAAGAGAACCGATATTGATTTTAAAATGGATTTGCAATATTTTAATAATCTTGAACGTAATTTACAATATTTTAATATCTTTAACCGCGATAAATGTTGTATAACTTTCTTCAGTTATAACAATTAAGCCTCATTGTCGTTTTCATGCGCGAGTCGTTAGCGGCAGCAAACGAGGGAAGCACAAAGGTCGAATCGCAAAATTCATGTGAATCCACGTGGTGCCAAGTGGGGTGCATTAGCCAAGTTCCCCATTATCCACGCGTGAGAGACCCCTAAATTATCCGGCACTCGCCTAGCGCCGATCTCGCCCACCCTCGAATGTCGGCGAGAAAAAGACGTATGACTGCCTTTTCTCGAGAATACCCCGGCAGCTCCGGGGTGATGTTACCAACGCGTGATTTTCGTAATTGCAAAGAAACTCTTATGTATCAATATATTCAGAAAAACATCCAAATTTCTAATTTCTATCCTCGTCATTTCTATCGAATCTTGTTATTGTCCATGATTTGTCTTAACAGTTCATTCTTGCGTTTAGTCAAATGTCTCGGAAAAACTAATCCAATTTATCTTCGCTATAATCATTAAAGAATTATCAGTGGTTTGCTTAATGAGTTTGAGATTAAAAGAAAATACTACATCTGTTAAAGGATATTGAAAAAAAGCAAAACAAAGTCAAAAAGAAAAGAAAAAGGCAAGAAAAAAGAGAAAAGGAGAAAAAAATTTGCATTATGTCTGTACATATAAACAGAATGACAGAAGAATGAGAGAAAAAATAAGACAACAGTAGAAAGCGACAAGAGCCAAAAATGGAGGAAAGAATCAGAGAGAGAGAGAGAGAGAAAGAGAAGAGAAAGAGGGGGAGGGAGGGAGAGAAGAGTGGAAGAGAGGCAAGAGACAGAATCCGAAGAACCGCCAGGAAGATAGAGAATACAAGTTTGGGCTATCTCTCCGTGCACAGTTCCAAGGAGCTTCCTTTAGACTTTAGTGACGTGACGTCGCCTAATACCCTAATCCTTGCAATGGAGGCACCATCGTCCGCTTCGTGTCCTAGCGTTCTGTCTAACCATCGTCTTATGACCGCACCACGGTCGGTACATGTTAATTAATTGGCAAGTACAGATTTCTAAATCACTCTCGCATCTATTTTGGAAAAGCTTATAAATCATATGTTCAACATATTAAATTATACAAATTTTATGTTATAAAATATATGCAATGAGTAATATAATATTTAATAGTAATTAATACATAAACAAATTTATCTATTTACAATTCCGTTACACGCTCTCGTTGCATTTGTTATTAAAACTTTTTTTTAATGAGTTTTTTGTTTTATTTGTATAGCAAATTTTTGAAAAAATATGTAGATATTATAGTTTTATCTTTGATGTAACTTTGATTTATAAATTTTTATCGTGATTTAATAACGTAAGAAGAATTTTTTATATCGCTTACCAGAGAGATTCTAAATCATTTAATGATTGAAAATTTAAATCACAACGAGTAAAGTAACTACAAGCAAGAATTAAAACACATTTGATTTGTCGATATTAGAAATGTTTGTAGTCACCAACGGAGACTTCGACGATATTTTCTTCTTGTGAGAATTTAAAATCAATTATAATATGTCTTCAGGATTATAATACGTCTTCAGGATTACATTTTGTTTAGAACTATGTTTGCTTTCTTATCATTTGTCACAAACCGTTACAAATGACGTATAATTGGTGGATGGACCAAGGCACATCGGATCCCCGAACTCGAAGGGATCTTTTAGCTCTTTCTTGCACCACGTTCCCTCCTTTTTCCCTCGTCCAACCCATCCTTACTCAGTTTCATTATCGAAGGCCAGTTTCAAGAGAGCATTGGTCCGCAAAGAAAAGTGATAATGTCTTAAGCCGCCGGTGCGATTTAACTTCCGATTTTGGACGAGGGCACTCCCGCCGTCCTCCCACCGCGATCCCTAGCAAGAGTTCGTCGCTCTAAACTCTCGGCTACGTGGTCTGAGGAGGGTTTAAGGTTTAAGGGAAGCTCTCTCATTCCTTGAGATCCTAGGGAGCTCTGCTAAGCGCTGACGTTGATCCTGCTCTTCTTCTGCCTCCGCCACCTCCAGGAGTTCGGGTTTATCTAATTCCAGTTGTAGGTTCCTCCTATCGCTGTAAACCTTATGAGCGTACCAAAGGGCGAACGTTGTGCAGTTAAAGGTCTAAAGTCTTACAAGTCATCAGAAAGATGGGTAACTTGCTGGTTTGAAATAATTTGCAATTATTAAAATATTATGCTGAGATATTTTCTTAGACCTTAAATTCAGGCTGGGGCTTAGTTCGACAACAAGATGAGCAATTAATAAAATTTATTATTAATTATACATTTCATAGATTGAAAATTTTTGCTTTTGTTAAACGATATAAATATAAATGTTTTATTTTTAATGTATATAAATTAATGTATAAATGAGTATTGTTTGAAGTGGTAACGTTAATCCACGTATATTAATGCGCGTATGTTAATCCTCATTCATGGGATTTGTACACTGTTAAGTTACAACGTTGAATTCGTAATAACTTCCGAAGTTGCAAGGGTAAATCATTTTACATTTATCGTTTATTAAAAATTCTATGAAACGAGAATTACTAGAAATTTGCTATGTGCAAAGTTATTCCTGTTCAGACTGACAGAGGTTTCACTTTTCCTTTGAAAATTCAGCAAAGAACTCGCGAGAACTTGTAAAGGAAGCACAGATCAGTGAGGTCACTGGCCGGGACTAATATTGCTCGGATTCTTAAGGCGGCAAAGAGAACAGGTAACACGTACATACAGTGGCGTCTCAGCTCAAGGGATGCCGGAGGGATAGTAGTACACACACAT